GCCAGAGCGGGGTGTTGGAGGGGGCGAGGTGGGCGCGGAGGACGCGGTGCGAGAGGGAGATCGAGAGGCGGTCCGTGTGCGGGAGGAGGGCGGCGATTTGGGCGAGTATGTCGCAAGGGAGCGAGGTCAGGGAGGCGCGGGGCGTGTGCGAGGCGGACGAGGGGGAGGGCGGCGATGGGCAGGGCGGCGATGGACAGGGAGAGGGAGGGCGGTCGGTGCCATCTTGGGGCTCCGCGTGCGCAGCGGGTGAGGTGGAAATCTTGGCGGGCGGGGATGGGAGGAACGGGGGAGGGGGAACGGGAGAGGGGAACGGGAGAGGGGGAGGGAGAGAGGGAGGGGGGAGATGGGGAAGGGAGAGGGGGATGGATCGCAACATGGTTGGATATGGGTACCAAGGGTACACGTTTACGCTTTCGAGTGATGCAGTACACGTGTACTCGATGTGACGGATCTCCGTTTAGGAAAAGAAAATATTTCAACTTTATTGAATTTCAGGAATTATTTCAACTTTATTGAATTTCTCCGAGAAAGTGCTCGACCACGTGTGCGTCGTGCCCATGGCTAGCGAAGCGACCTGCAGTGCTGCGCTGTTCTCGCTAACTTCCCCAAGCTCCGAGTTCGTAACTCGCGCCTTTTCACCCCACTCCCCGCCACTCCCCGCCCCTCCCCCCCGCCCACAACCTCCGCTTCCCGCCGACTTGTGCGACGGTGAGTGGAATATTGCGTCCATCTATCTCGACGTTGACAACACGTACTATGGCGTCGACGCCGCAACCAACCTTCCTCACCGTATTTTGCTATACACTCTAGCAATTTCCGGAACCGGGAATAGTACAACTCACAAGATTGTTGACGATCTCTTCCAGTTTGGTGGGAGAGACCGAATTAGTGCCTTCTTAAGTATTGATCGTTTTTGCACCGATCAAAAGAGCAGGAGTCTGAAGATGATCCATGGTCGTTCCAGGGCGGTCAATCCTCCGACTCCGATCTACCGCGTTTCCACACACGGGACCGTGCGGTTCCGAGATAATAGTGACATGTGCATCTCCGCCGCCGTCTGCAACGGTCTCCAACTACTAGGGTCTCCAAACCTTGCCGTCAAGTACTGGGATATTTTAGTTCGCAACAGCCTCCTCTTTGAGAGGACCGGCTCTCCGTCGCGTGGAATCCGAGATTTCCACGACGCTGGAAAACACCTTAATCAAGATGAAGTCGCTCTTCGCGGGTCGGGTCTTCGTAGTCCATCTCTCGGACTCCTCATGAGGCTCGACCCGGGTGTCTATGTCGCGACTTTAGAAGGCTTGCCCCACATAATGCACAGCATCTGCGTCTCGACCATACATTC